TTTAACGAAACAACACGTGAGAATTATATTTATATTGTACTCCACTCGCATTAGTCAATTTTTCAGCCCTTTCTTCCCCTAATTTCGTCAGACAATGTTTCGTTTGGCATCGTTTCTCTTTCAACGAGTTCTTATTGTTCTCGTTCGGTAAACAATAATAATTAGTCCGTATACTGTTTATTCGTTATAATAATAATAATTATTATTATTATCATGTGAGGTTCCATAAGGCTGAATCGAGTTTTAATGCCTACAGTACAATGTGTTTCTGGTACAATGTCGTTTATTGATTCCTAAAGTCGGTTGGAAAAAAAATTGTTTTAAATAAAATTAACCGCGAAACTGTTCGATATGTGTGCTCCACGTGCAGCAGGCGGTTATACGCTTATATTAAATATTTGTGTGCACTGTGCACGACGTATAGTTTTCATTTCCAAGGCCGATAATAACATATTATATTAATCGTGAAAAAAAATGATAAGAAGGGCACACGAGCGTCTGTACTCGTGTGGATTGCCGTTTGTTCGCATAATCGCGTGTGGCTCATTTTTGACGGAATCGCCACATAATATATTATAATATAATTGTGTATTAAATAACATTTTTAAGACAGTCGGCTCTTTATTTACATAATATTTCACTTCCAGAAAGTCATCGACCCGCGTGTATACAAAATCGTATATTCAAAATAATATATTATTATGTCTTTCGTGTGTAATTCTGGGGCGTATGAAAATTCTTTCATTGTGTGACATCTATTCAAAAATAATTCATTAGACCAACGTTTTTTTTTTATTAAAATATCCAGTCAAAAATTTATTCGATATTAGGAACATAATAATATATACAGTAAATATATTGTACTATATACATGCATTATTGTCTATATTATGTTGATTTTTAATTTACCATTATTCATTAATATAACTTACAAGTAACAATGCGATATGCGTTTAAACAATCGTGGACTATTTATAAAACAATCACAAGATAATACTATTTATTTACGTAATAGATTATAATGTACGACTTAATGGAGAACTCGACCACTTGGTTACATTTTCGATTGTATTTGTTCTCATTGTATTTTATATTGACACACTGTGATAAACAAAATAAAACACAATACCTATATAGATAGGTGTACCTATAGTTACCATCCATATTGTGTTTTATTATAATACAGTTTTTATACCCTCATACACGTTATCATTCGGACATTGAAATATTAAATTACATTTAGAAAATCTGCAACATTATACTCGTATTATTATTAATTGTACGATAATAGTAAATAGAATTTGTACCTACATAGTACTGTTATAGTACCTACATACCTAGTCAAATTTAACGTAGGTAGCACTATTCACTAATATTATCACTAAATTATTAAGCACGTATAGACGTAGTATTAATTAAATGCATAATAGTTTATTATTGGATGTTAAAGTTGAGTCGAACTAATTATTTGGATGTTTAATCACAAAATAGATAATATTTTTGAAAAAGTTGTACACTAACTTGGTTTTTTGAAATTATTCTTTTTGAAATTCATTTTGTGTTTCCGCGAATCGTAACTATATCACATAATATATTATTATAATATCTTTGGGAGTGTATCCCAACCGAACTGTATATTATGTCGATTCACGTCATATACCTACTCACTCATACATTAAACATTTATATTTATAAAATTATGGAAAATGATGTATAATTTAGTGATATATAATAACATAATATATAATATTTTATATATCTGTTAGCTAACTAAATTACTATCTCCATTCAAAAGAATCGGTGCAGTGTTATTAGATGATAAGAAGAAAACGTTTGTCCGACGCTTTAGAAGTTTCGTGTGGTTATACGGAAACGACCAAAAGTCATAACTTACGAACTAGGTCAAAGTCCTTAACGTTAAACCCGTTTTATTTGAAACTTGTGTAGGAAATGACCATGTGTCGCTTTTTATTAAGAAAAATACAAAAGTCAAAGGTTCCGCCAATATGTTCGGATTAAATTTTAAAACTGTATTAGGTATTTAAGTTATATGGTACGTTTTGTAATAATTGAATAGCATAAGTTTAATAATATGAAGACTAACTATAAAAATCCAGACGAATCAAAGGAACGAACAAAACTGTTTGAGGAAATAATTCCTGTACACTGTACAGACTGAATCTTAAAATGGGGGGGTTAAAAACAGACGTTTTAATATAATTTACAGGTCAATTATTTTTTTTATATATTGTTTATCTTTCGTATTTACACACGGTTTAATAATATATTAAATGCGGGACCCGTATAATATGTGATGACAACGTTAAATATTTTTTTATATATAATCAACTTTTATACCTTTCCTCCTTTGACATAATATAGTAACTTTATTATTATTAATTAATACGACGATTTTTAATTTTCCTATCGCTTTTTCACAAATTAAAATTCTATAAAATGCAGTTAATTTTTAAATGAGTAATAATAATAATATATTGTCAATGTTATTGTGTTAAGTATTTTTACTATACTATTCAAAACTAAGACAGATAACATATTATTTAGGTATATACTATATACTTACATGAATATAAATTTGCTTCGAAAGTAAAATTATTTTATAAACGATGCTAACTCGACGTTTCAGCATCTACACGTGTTGAACAACATATACATATAAGCTGTTTTTTCTAAACATAAGCTTATATTATATTATAACGAGACGTACGCGCGTGTCCATTTGACATGAGAAATAAATATTCAATAATAATGTCGTGTCAAGTAATCGACGAATTCCTTAAATGAAAACGAATACAATTTTAAGAACATTAGAGTCTAATTGTTCCGATTGTTGAAACATGAAACTATAATGAATGAATATATATACATAAATAATATAATTAACAAATTTGAGATCAAAGCATTTATATTATTAAGTATTCAACACATCATACGTACTAAGCTGTCGTGGTGTAAAAGATTCGTTTTTAGTTGTATAACATAGGTATAATATGAACATATAGTGTTATTATAAAAAAAAAACAATAGTTAAAAGGTGAAAACAATAGTCATAGTAAATCACCGAGATTATATTGTTTGAATACACTCTTCGTATTTAAAAAATAAAATAATATAAATACAAAGTTGTAAAATTTGTGCACCGTTTATTATGTTAACTTATTTATTATTGACATCATTAAACAAATTATTTCGATTTGTACCTTGTCCTATATACATTTCAAAACTAAGTGGAACTCCTTATATTCAAATACTATTAAGTCTCAAGGAATATTCAGAATTAATAAAGCTGCACATTTAGGACTTCACTATGTACTGAGGTTACGCAGTCGTTGAATTTACTTATATTTAATTAGCAATGGTAGTGGCCAGAGAGAGTGACATTCAGTATTTATATATTTTTTTTAAATTTTAAATTTACTGTTGAAATTACATTTTTCTACTACCTAATTGACATTACTATTACAGAAAAAAACTATTTTTTTGAATTATTGATTTTATCATACATGTACCATGATTGGTAATGACTAATGAGTAATGACGTACCTGTAAATTAATGATTCCCATCACAATATTATTAATATAAATGTCTTTTTTACTTAAATAAAAAAAAATTTTATTACAGAATAAAATACTCCTTATGTTTTAGGTTTATACAAATTATAAATTTACTCGGTTTCAGTAAAAATAATTATCCGTCCATACTTATTATAACTGAACAATAACAATAATGTATCCTATAATTTTTATTAGATTTAGCCCAATGCTTATTTGATTCAACTAATTATGGGTAGGAACCTACTCACAGTGTTTCATAACTTCCCCTACCTATATTTCATCGACGATTATGAAAATCGGTGATGCTCGATTGCGGCCCAAAGATATGTTAGTTCATAAAAAAACACTTACGTCTACGTATAAATAAAAGAAGTGAAATGAAAGTAAACTTTTCATAAATTAATGTGAACTCGCTGTATTCTATTTAAATCAAAATACTTGAGATATAATCGGAATATTTGTTTAGTTTTAATTACTACCGAAAACAATATTTCCTACCTTCCCGAGGGCCACAATCGGAGGGTATACGAAATAGGAAAAAAGGTCACATCGGGCTTCACCCTATTAACAATATTATTTATAATAATAACTAGGTACCTATAGCCATTATGTACATAGTTTACTACACACGAATATCAATTTTCGTGGGTTTCGCCTGATTTCCGGATAAACTACTATGTACACAGGCGATGGGTAATTATTATAATATTATAAATTGTTAATATGTACAGGAATGAATTGTTATGTGTAAAATGAATACGCCGAGAACTTTTCGCACATCTATTAAATCCGTTATAATACTGTTAAAGTGGCTCGTGTAGAATAATGTAATATATTATGGGTAACGTTGAATTTGAAATAAAATTACGGTCCTAGATAGGTTAACCTATATCGAAAATGAAAAACGTTAACGTTGTAATGCGCGATTTATATAGTAAAATAGGGAGGAATTGTATGCGCGCCGGAGCAAACATAACTCGTCTACGTTATTACAAATATTTTTTTTGTAAATTTTTCCACAGCGTGTACAACAAAGGAAAAATATAACCTTACAATATTAGAAATTTAATAGCGCGGCGTTAGTATGCGATTTAAAGTACCTACCTCTACCTGCTCACTTGCTTGCAAGCATCACACACCCACACACACGCACGAGTGAGAATATAATAATAATAATAATATGTGAAGAATTCGCACGTGTTTCGAAAATGAAAGTTTTTACCGGCAATGAGTGGAAAATATTTTATTTATTTTGAGCTTTATTCACTTCATCGAGATTTGGTGCAGGTTTATAAATAGCGCGAAGTATACGTTCGATGTCTGTAACAACCACCCGAATATTATGTAATATTATTATTATTGCTGTTATATATTATTATCTGTTCTTGATGGATTTTTTTCGTTTTCTGTTTTGTTTCCGACAGAAGGCGGCTTTCCTGTGGCCGTCGCCGGAGCAACAGGCCCAGCAGCAGCAGCAACAACAGCAACAGCAGCAACAGCAACAGCAGCAACAGCAGCAACAACAGCAACACCAACAACAGCAACAACAACAGCAGCAACAACAGCAGCAGAACAACCTAGCTGCGACCGGTGGTCAGACCTTGGGCCCCGGCGCCGGTAGCCTAAACAACAACAACAACAATAGTAGCAGCAACAACAACAACAACAACAACAACAGCAGCCACTTGAACGGCAACAAGTGTGGCGTCGGCGGTGCCGGGTCTGCCATCCACCCGCAACACCTACAGCAGCAAGGTGGCGCGGCCACCGGGGCGGGAGGCACCGGACTGGTGCACTGGATGTCCATGATGGCCGAGCACATGAACAACGCCGCGGCCACACATCACCACCACCATCACCCGCATCACCATCATCACCCGGCCGATCCGGCCAACGCCATGCACTACATGTGGAACACGCCGGCCGTCGACGTGGTGAGTAACAACATGTTTTAAGCATGACGATTATATTATGCATTATTATTATTAGCTACTTAATATTAAGAATTGACTCAATCTACTTATATGAAGAAATGGTTGGCATTAACTACAGGAAAAAGTAAATTTTTAAAACTTTTTAACTCTACTGGGGTTGTAGTGAGTTTTCCAATTGGTAGTATTTACTTAACGGCCTATAACAGGTGGCTCGAGTTACAATATCATAGTAACGAATAGCCTTCGAATTTTTAACAGGTTATTTAATTTTATAAATGTTAAGATGTGTCAGTACGTAGTTCTGGTAGTAATTTAAAAAAAAAATTGTTCATTATACGAATAATTACACTTAAGTCGACTTATATTATAAGTATTGTTCAAGTCAACCATACGACTCAATTCATAACAATCTCACGTGGAACGGAATAGTGATTTCATAGTAAGCGACCATCGTCCATGTTATACTCCCAACGTCTAAGTCAGGTCACTCAATCAGCTTTCAATAAAATAATAATAATTATCATTATTATTATTATAATATGCAATATCAATTATTCTTTTATTGTTATTGATAGTTATATTATATTTGTCAATCATCTATTGCCCTCTCATTCGTATAGATGGAAAAAAATCAACAGATTGCCAAGTTCAAATCGGAAACTTACGCATAATCAACTACCTATCCCGCGAGCTCTTATGACGTTTAAAAATCGTATCGGCTGAACTTTAAGCTCGTACTCAAATAAAATCTAAGTCCGTCTGACACGCAGCTATACTTAGGCACTTAGGGTTATAGCCGTTATAGGTACGCAGCCGATTTATTCGTGCGGCGGTAGCCCAGAGAATCGTGAGAACCGTATACCGCTGCGACTATCCTTCCAAAATATTAAGAAACCACTGACGCCAATATAATAAACACGAATCAAAAAACTATAATATTATGATATTAAAATATACACACCGTCGTAATAGTGGCAACTCATTGTATTAAAATATGGTGAGTCGGTAACTATTGCGTTGTTTATACGATTCGTATACGCATTATCGTATCGTATTCGTATCGCGTTATTTATTATTATTATTTTTTGTTCTCAAAGATTATTAAACCGTGAACAGAAAAATAATCATACATAACTAATTTTTGACTGAAATTAATCGAATCGGTATTTATTTTTTTTTTTTTATGCATCAGCCTATACCTATATTATATTATATTATATTATTATTATTATTATTATGATTGTCGACTGATTTAAAACATCTGTAGTAAAACATATTATTATCGTTATATTATCGTACAATAATTATTATAAACCGTTGTTAGAAAGAAATCAATAGATTGTTATTATTATTTTGTTTGGTTATTCAAAATTAATTTCAATATTTTATACCATAATAATAAAAATCGATTTTAAATACATCCTAGTGCTTCTATAATGCATTATCCACTATGATGTTATATTTTGTTACATACATTTTGTGTGTACCTACCGATTCTTTGAAGTTATGTCAGAAAATTATAATAAATACGTTTTAGTACTTACTATATACTATAAATTATAACAAGGACTTAAACTTTGTTTTCGAAGTTAAACGATGGTAAGTATATAGTGTTTGTGATGGTATTTCAATGACAGCAAAGACGCTTACACATTTTTTGCATACAAGCCATTTAATGTAGCTTATTAAAATAAATTTGCCATTAAAATTAAACCTCGCTGAAGCTTAAGTATAGAATTGTATAAGTTTTGAATAAGTTTTTGATAAAAATAAATTCCAATTTTCTGTTTTTAACATTATACATCTTTTAATTTATTTTAATATAAAGTGTTGACCATCTAAATATTATAAATCTTAAGAATAGATTGTATTATATTATAAGATAAAAAAAAAAATAGAATACATCTGTTCCCTATATCGATTAAAGAAATAAGTAAATATTCATTATCAACAAAATACATTTATAAAGTTAAAAAGTTAAAATTCTACAGCAGTGTCTATACTGTAATATTAGGCAATAACTATATTGGCATTATGATTTTTGTTTTATTAGCTGTAGGGGTTTATGGGACCAAAGAAAGTCGATCACAATAAAGTTTTGGTACGTCAAAACTAGAAAATGTATAATATTTTTAAGGAAATTCTTGAAACCGGGAAAAAATAGTAAAAATTATCATCGAACAGGAAACTAAATATTATATTACTGAGCGAGCGTCGAAATTTTAAATATTATCATCTTACGCGGAGGAGGGTTAGCAAACTTATACGGATGCCGGTATAAAAATCAATAATACAGCTTTTAATTTTTTTTATTGATTTTTAATTTTTTGGTCATTTAAATTTAAATATACTTTTGACTACCGTTTGGATTAAGTTTACGAATGAGGAGAAAAATAGGTATCAACCATTATACATACACATAAATAATAATATTACAAGGTATTAGGTAGTATAGTCATATAAAGATACACGAATAAAGTAATTTTTTTATAATTTTATTAACACAGAAATGAACAGAGTTTTTAAGTACTATTTTGTTTGTTTAAATAATTAAAAATTAAGACATCGTTCGAAGACGATAATCTGAGCTCCCGTTTTCATGGTTACTAAAATATATTTAGAATACCTATGATACAAATTTCTGGTTCTGGTAAAATGTCAATTTTTGTGAATAACAAATGTTATTTAAGTAGGTAATATAAATTACACTAATTAAAAAGTGTTTAAATCAGTAAGGTTGTTAGTTAATACTAGATACGCTGTTACCTTCTAAACCAGTTGTTTCATTTCAGTAGTTAATTTAATTAATTTTGAAAAGTTAATGCATACAATATGTCATAATGTATTTTTTTTGCAAGAATATAATGCATTTGGTTGGTAGATAATTAAGAGTTATTTTTATATATTATTATTTTTGTTTTTTTTTTTGTTGTTATTAAACAACTTTTAGCACCAACTGCAACAGTCGTTCCTATCGATTTTAAGATTATTATCGTACTTACATTGTAGGTTTAGGTACTCTGGATTAATTTAAATATATTTTGTAATAAATATATTTATTTTAACATCTATAATTAATCAATATACACATGCCCTTTTCAAAAATATTCATGTGGTATAAATTGTTATTGGTTATAAAGTTTTTTCTTCGATTTTATATTCTTGGTATGGCTACTTTCGTGACCAATTTAGAATTTTTTTCAATTCGTTTTCGAAATACTAATAGTACGGTTACATTCATTCCACCTTCAAAAATACTGGACAAACAAGTTGTACTCTTTATAAGTAAAATAATATAATTACATAAAATGTACTAAGTTACGACCGACTTAAGAATTTAAAAATATAATTTTGAATCGATTGAATAAAAATTTATTAAACAGACAGTATAGGTATTATGTGAGGACTGAAAAGTGCACCTATATAACGATATTATGTTCTCGTCTTCGGTTGTTGTTTTTCACAAAATCCGTTGTTCGTGATCGAAATGCAAAAAAAAATAATCGTCCCCGGTATACACCCTTTCGTTTAACCGACTTCCGGATACTTTTTGGACGAGAAAAAAAAGTTTAAAAAAAAAAACGTTGTGCATAATAATAATAATAATACATAAGAAAGAATTCCACTTCGTTCCACGTCCACGTGTATTATATATATCATGAAGATAATAATATTATAATCCGCGGAAACGTCGTCGGTTGTTCGTCGTGCACACACCACTCGTCTCATTATGTAAGTATATAATATAATGTGCACTGCCAGTCTAAGTGTGCCATAAGTATACCTATATGCAATGTACGAGCCTCACAGCAGAAGCCGTTAAGACAAAAAACGGGTAAAAAAACATGCCCCGGGCACCACCGTCGCGGTGGTTGGTGTGTGCAGCGGCACATCATCTTAATAATAATTCGAGTCCGTGAGATTTTAGTATAACGGACTCGCGATGAATAAAAACAAAAAATAAATATAAATAAATGTATATAGAAGTATAAAAAAAACTATCCGGCTCATCCCCGCTTGTGTCGTGCGCACGTAATAATTACAAACCCCCGTGGAGATGCGCGGCCGTGAAAGAGAAACGCGTATTTAATATGCAAGAGATGTGACTATAGGTATGTATGGGTACGTAGATGATGTGCCCGATGCCGGGGGGGTAAGGTGGCTTTTTTTTTTTAAACTTTTTTTTTTATTATTTCCCATTCCGCGTCGTCTTATCCCCCCGCCCGACCCCGCGCGCCCTTTTTTCGCCCCGCACGGCGCACATTACAATACACGTAATAATAATAATAATAATATACAGTGCGTAATAATATGCACATTGCGAACGCGCATAGAACAATAATCATCGTCGTCGTCGTCGTCGTCATCGTCGTAATGCGCGTGTGGTACCACCGCACCCTCCTCTGAGGATTTTTTTTATTTAGCCAGATAGTTGTACTCCTCTGCAGGTCGTAAAAAATGGGATTTTTTCGGTCCACTCGCGCGACGTATATAGTACCCACTATAGTACCATCCAGTCACGTACGAGCACCGCTGGTAGATATATATATATATATGTATTATGATGTATATAGGTAGGTAGGTACCTACGTATGTATAATGCGTGTGCCCGCGTATTACCGGGTGCAAAAAATAATAATAATAATAATAAAAAATATATTATAATACACACGCACACATCGGGCATTTGAATAATGTGTAAAAAACAATCGCAACCGGTTGGCCGCGCCCGGAGGCTTATGCAAATGCCGCCGCACACAAGTGCCGAGCGATGGGAACACGCCGAGCCCGCGACTCGAGAGGGTTAACTATGCAAATTACTCCGTACACTCGGCCCCCGTCGCCTAAACAAAAGGATGCCTTTGCGTGTGTGTATGTTTTTTTTACTAATGGTCATGGGCCATGGGAGTATTTTTTTATTTATATATGGGTATATACATATTTTATTTTTTTTTGTCTTTACTTTCTATTATAATATTTGTACACACCTTGTGGCTCTT